CCCCCCCCCCCCCCCCCACTCTCGTTAACTTTTCCAACCTGCACACAGGATTCCCATTAGTAGATGTGAGCAAATAATTGTCATACAAAGAGAGACATCAAACAGATGGGTACATACAGCTAAAATTCAAATTCAAATTGCACATAAACTGTATTTAATGTAGAATCGTTACATTAAACTTTTACAACACTGACCAATATCAGTCATTCATCAAACATCAACACAAGATCAGACATCCTTATTACGGAAAGCCAGATTGATTTGCAAACTCAACTGATGGCAATTGTAATAATACAAGGAGTCGAGCGCACGGATATCACTTGTCGAGACACACGGTAGGCAACCGTAAACGACACATCGCCTCTCGCACAGCACTGAAATATGCCGCATGAGGTCGATCGACTTTGTTTACATTTGAGGCGAGTCTGAGGTACGTTTCGATGTTCTTCACAGTTGGTGCCGGCAGCCCGGTTCCGTCACGGTGTATTTTCTCTATCGCTGCCACTGCCGCCTGCCGATAGATATTCAACGCCTTATTAATAGATGCGCTTTGGCGTTTCAGTCGGTCGACGTTCGCCTCCTCGTCGTCCACTTTCTCTTGTATGGTTTTGATGGTGGCCTCGAGCTGCTGTTTCTCCCGCTCCTGTTTCAGCAACTCCATCCGCTTTTTGCGCATTTCTCCCTCGCGTTGGCGATTATGTTCGACGAAATGTTTCGAGAAGATGCGACATTCTACGTCTGGAGGAGGGGACGGCTCACGGTTTGGCCGCAGTTGCTTACGTAACGCTGCTGACCTCCTCTTACGCCTCCTCGGCTTGTTCCCTGCGCTCGACTGCTCCTCGGCATCATTTTCCTTCTGCTCAGGAAACATTGTACCAGTCAAACCTGAGATCTAGATATTACCAATAACGATTCCAACTCCTCTTCCAGTGATTCACCCGGACCACAACACTGGTGCCTAAGTTTGTCTTCAATTATACAGATTGAAGACAATTCAAGCTCAAGCAATCGAACATGCAATGCCCGAACTTCTGTAGGTTTTTAAACCTAATTTCATTAATATTTACTGAGCTGTCCTACCAAACGAAGTTGATAAGGCAGACGTTTATAAGGCAGGTCGCCGATACTTGACCATACTATCTACAACGTTATTCAGATTCATCAAACAGCAGCTCTCAAAAGAAGGGTCTGTTCAGCTTTGTTCTAATAGCAGCGCTAGGACCGAAGTCGAAGCAGTAATGCACGTATTAACTCTAGAATCACTACAGTTATCCACAAGAAATTCATCCGCTATTGAACAACGACTATTGCAATGTGCAATTGGCGACTGCCATTATTTAGCTTCTACTTGATTATGCATGGATAAGCATACGACTACTGGATGGATCAATCAGTAAGAGTGCGCTAATTCTGAGTGAAGGGCCAAAAGTGAGT